ACTTATGCTGGAAAAGTGATAACCCCTTGCTCTGTCTCTGCCCGAGAGAAAAATAAAAATCATTTCATTCAATTTTCCACATATCTTGCTCCGTTTTGTGGGTGGAAGTTTTCGGGGGGAGCGTGCGAAATTTTTTTCTTTACCGGGAGCCATGCAAATAATTTTCTTCTTTTTTGCAAGGTTCCCAGTTGTCGCTTTTCGCATTCGGTATTGGACGACTTTTTTCAAAATGAATCAATAAATTCCTTTTTCCAGGCAAGAAGTTTTGTGAGAAATTTCAATTTTCCAAATTAAACCTTTTTTTAAATTTTAAACATTTGTGAAAACCCAACTTTATTTCTTATTTTAATTGTAAACAATATTATTTTGGAGTGGATTTCATATTTTAAAATATCTTTAAAAAAAAAAAACAACAAATAAAGCTAAGAACTTCGAAATTACAAATATTTATAAGTTAATAATTTCATTCACATTGTTAAATGTAATTTTTCTTATAAACCATTAATTAAATGTTATTTTTAATCATTTTTATTTCCCAACACTTTAGTTTCATTAAAGTGTATCTAAAGTTCGCATTTCTCCATTTTTCACCCAAAATTTCTTTTCACTTTTTTATTTCCGCTCGCAAAAGCCGTTGGCGTTGTTGAAATTTTTGCTCCGCCGTTGTCTGAAATGCCTGTACTTTTGTTTTAACACCAGTGCCCAGTAACGCGCCCTTGATCCTTACCGGGCATGTGTGTCATTGGTGGTTCTCTTAAAGAGGACCCAAAGTTTTCCATTTACCAAAAAAAAAAAAAAAAAAAAAAAAATGAGATGTTCAGAAAAGGGGAATAAATATATATTTTTTCTGGCTAGTATTCTCGCATGTATTTCATTCATTTCATTGTGGTTAAAGCCGGGTTCGAATCGCCTCTCTTGGACTTTTGGGTATTTGGCTGCGTTAACATTACGCTTCACAATTTAATTTCTTTTTTCTGTTCGTATTTTCATTTTTTTCCCAGTGACATTGAGAGCCCGGTCCTGGCATCCCTTTGTGCTTTATCTTTTGGCATACATATATAGATATATTTTATACTCAATTCGGCTTTCGGCTCTTTATTTTTGCTTTTTCGGTTTCATTTTTTACATGCCCGCAAGATTTACTTATTTAATTTGGTTTCCTGTGTGGTGGATATTTATTGCACACTTTTTTCTTGGGTGACAATGTCCATGGTGTTATTCGTGCTCTTGGCTTTTTAATTTGTGCGTCATTTGCAGTTGATTGAAAGTTATGGGTAAAGAATTGAAATAAATGAAATGCCACAGTAATTTAATTTATATTTGAATATGTGAACTTGTCAAATAAATGAATTAACTGCATATATTTTTTAATTTTTGAAGGCGACTAGCATAGTATTTTTAAATAAACATTTTGTTTTAGTTTAATATTTATTTTCAAAACTAAAATTATCCAAATCAATTGATTTTATCATTTAAATTTTAAATAAATAAACACTAACCCAATTAATTATAGTCATGAAGTCAAAATCCTCAACTTTCCTTTTAAATTCTCTCTTCACTTATTTCTCTTTTAACTTTCCAATAAACTCCTGCTCATCAACCCCTAATTAGTCTACATAATCCTGTTCAGACTTTCGGTTTTGTGCCAACTTCAACGACCAAAAATACCTCGCTGTGATGAGAAACTCAAATAAAATGCCAACTTTGATCTATTTATAAGTGATTATTTACAAAAAAAAAAAAAAAAGAGAATGAGAGGGTTGGGAGGCAGACAAGGACAACAACTACAAACGATTTGGAATTTTTGCTTAATTACACACGAGTCCTAAACCCAGAAAGAGTCCCCATACCGAGAATCCCTCTCAAAATCCCGGGAGTAGAGTCAAAAAATGAGCTGCATCATCCTTTCAGTCCCTGTGCCCCCACTCCTCTGGCCGCTGTCTGCTTTTGGCCATGTCAAATATTTGCGCAAAGTCCAAGCTCCGTTTCTCCATCCCCATAAGCCTCTTCTCCTACCCCTTTCGTCAGCATTTGCTCATCCAATTGTCGCAGTGGAAGGTCGAAAAGGAGACCAAGTCCTCGCACAGGTCTCGGGGTCTACGAAAAACCCGTGGGTGGGATAAACTAGCTTATACCTCTTGAAACAGCTTTTAAGATGTTCTGAAAGAAGGGAATATGATTGTAGAAATATTTTCGAATCTTTAAAAAAAATATTCAATTTTAGTCCGGTTTAATGTGTCCAAATTTATATGCAATCACAATTTGTATTGACCACTATTTAATTGTAGAGGGTATACAAAATGTCGGTACGAAAATACATATATTCCGCTGGTTTTATTGTTGGCATTGCCTTTTTCGGGGTTCACTGACTGTCAACATTGGGCCACCCTGCTCAGCCTTTTCTTCCGCTCTGGTACCCACAAAAATCGTACACCCTCCCCACCGCTTTCTTCCAGGGTTGCCAGACAACGCACAGTCAGCGGAAAAAGTCGCGTAGCTCGACAAAAAGGGAGAAAGGTGCAGAGAAAGAGGCTGGAGAAAGTGCCAGGGCCTGTGCGAAAATAAAGCAAAGAAATAATTTTTAAATGCGGCTTAAAAATATCTTTGATAAGCGTGCCGAAATGTTCTCATATTTTTTTATTCTCGCTTTTCTTTGCTTTCACTTCTGTTTTTTTTTTTTTGTGGAGTTGAGTAATTTATAGTCTCCTGAACTTGAGTCGCATTAAAAGGTTATTCCTGAGCAGATCAAAGTAAAGCCCAGACTTGGGCTGAGGGTGATTTTAAGCTGCTTAAAAACCGCGACGTTGGGGATATTAAGGGGCACTGAAACCCAAAGAAATGGAGTAAGGTACTTACATACTTGATTTTATAGTTTTGCGATAAGACGATTATGGCAAAGGGGATAAGATTCAAATAGGGTATTAAAAAACATAAACTCATTAGTCAAAAACATAAACCCATTATCAAAAACATTGCCATTCAGTATAATTGTAATCCCTTAACAGGAGTTTTGACTTTTTTATGTTGTGTTTACTTCTTTATAAAACATGCTTGTGTTAAATTGGAAATGGAATCATTAAAAATAATTTCAACAGGAAATAAAAAAAAAATTATGTTGTAATAAAAAAAAAAGTCAATTTCTTTAGTTGAATTCCCTGTTTTTTTGTTCAATAAACGCTATATTTTCTTACAGAATGTTAAAAATTTGTGGTCTTAAGAATATATCAAAAAGGTTATCAAATTTAATTGTTGTATTAATATTTACAAAAATAAAAATTCCTTTACAGAAATACGGAATGAAATTGTAATAAAAAAGTAAAATAAATAAATGTTACCTTGAGAACCTTAAAGAACTTCTTATTTACCTCTCGTCCTCGTTAGTCCTTCTGTTCCTTTGCCCCACTTCAGAAATTACAATGTTAAAGCTCTTCACCAAATCCACTCGGGTTCTTCTTTCATTCCCATTGATTTCCCTTCTCTAGTACACCGCACTAGCAACAAAAAACCAATCAAGAAGAACAAAGAGCGATGAGAAACAAAATAACAAGAATCAAAAGTTCACTCTTCTCAACAACAACAACAACAGCAATAACACGAAGTGGAGGATTCCACTTTGCACTTGATTTGTTGTATAGCAGACGGTAGACATAAAAAAAATTTATTTAGCTCACCTGCAAAAAACGATAGAACTGGAAAACAAAAAAAAAAAAACACCAAAATCAAGACGAGCAAAAGTTGTTCAAAGAATTTTTCAGCTGCTCCCCACACTCGAAAAAAATACTCTGATTCCAAATATCCAAAATATCTAAAATAAAGTGAGCAAGGTTCGCGATCATTATAATTATTTGGGTGTCAAGGTCATAAAATTGCACCAAGATATAAAAAGTACTTAAAAGACTGAATATATTTCTGAACGATGGGTTAATTTACTGAATTAAACCTTATTTTTCAAGTGGTATACAGCTGCTACTTACTATTTTTTCTTCATTTTGTTCGCCTTTGTTGGAAAAGTTCTGACTCTCTTTGTCCTTGTGCCTGTCAAAGTGTTGACCCATGTCGACGCCGCCGAAGATGATTGCCCCACCCAACTCTCGCCCACTCGGCATCTTAGTCGACGATCCCAAGCGAGCCTTCATTTTGGGACTAAAAAACTTTTATAATAGATTTCAAATTTCTCCGCCGCCGGATATTCTCTGGAGTAATCAAGCAAATTAGTGAGTTTCTCTGGAGAATCGCTGGCGTGGTCCAGGCGAAATCCCTATGCCGAATTTCAAACACTCACATTTGGCTCCCTCGACAATTTTGCGGTTGGCAAATTGTTGACAGCCGGCTCCAGAACCAGGTCCTTCTGCTTTTCCTTCTGCTCCGACAAATGAAGATAAATGCTAAGAAAATGTGGCCGAGAAAAAGGACCAAAGTTTGCTTAAAAATTTAAGAAGTGAAATCTTAAATTTGTAACTGGATTTTTGTCTTGGGGTGCATTATTGACAAACAAATGAAACTCTGAGAAACTAAAACTTTTTAATATACCCTTTACCTAGAAATGTATGGTATATAAGCTTTTTCCAACTTACATATGTGTACTTGTAGTAATTATTTTTTTTTAACCAACAAATATAGTTTTACGCATTTTTTTAGTGTTGAATTCAAGAATTTATACATTTTTTTCGTTTTGAGTATTAACATGGTGTTTTTTGAATTTTCACTATATCCTATACATTGTTTATTTTAAACAAAACAAAATTTAGTGTTCTTCTTCTCTGACTTAAAATTTGGTTACCATGTCTTTTTAAGGGTTTTAAAATAAATTTTAGTGATGGGTAGTTTTGAGGTCAAAATATCGCACATGCCCTTTTCAACTTTTTGTTGATGAAGATGAATTGCAGTTTGAACTTCGATAGCAACAAAGTTCAGTTCGCTTTACTCTTTTATTCTTCGTAGAGTTCTGTTGTTGTTGCTGGGATAAAAAAGTTTTGTTTTTCGGTTATAAAAGTTTCAAATAAAATTGTCGCAATTGCGTGTTTTATTGGATCCTAAGCTAAACATGAGGCATGCACAATTTGCACTTCGAAAAAAAGTGTGTCCTTGTTGCTAAAAATGTTAAATGTAATATTATTATTGCTAAGTGTCTGTTGAGTATTGATTATATTGAGTAGCGTCTTAAATAATAATTAGTTTATGTTCAGTTTAAATAAATAGTTGTGTTAGATATTACTACTAAAGTGATTAAATATCTGGGAAGTTTTTTGATTTTGCAGAAGAGAGTTTAAAATGCAATAATTGTGTCAAAGGGTCGTTGCAATTACAAACTTTCCCCAGAGGCGCCCCTCGACTTTGCTCCATACTGTGGGGGCGTGCCATCCGCCCCTTTCCTCCAATGACTTCCAAACTTAAACTAAATTAAAGTCAAGACGAAATAGCTAAGAACGGGTTAAGTGGGAAGAGAAGGGAGAAAAAGTTTTCAGTCTGGAAAACAAAGAGCAAGAAGAAGTTCAAATTACAAAATGTAACAAAGAAGTCGACAAGAGAGGGAAAGACGGAAACGAAATGAGAAGAATTTGCTAAATAAAAGTGAAACTTATAAGAAATTAAAGGAAAAAAAATTATCAAAAAATGCAGCCTCAAAAACGCAAATTTGTGGGAAAAAATTAAGCGTGACAGAGAGTATAAAAAAAAGTAAAACTAATTTGGCAACGGTATCTACAGAAGTACCTTGAAATAAATCAAAACAATGTTTTTTATGATAATTTTCAATAATTATCTGAATAGAAGCCGAAACAAAAACAATTTTACCGATAACAGACGGCTATTGTGTGTTACAATAATTACTACTTACATAGGTTTTAGAATCGACCCCATTTAAAATACATATGTACATACATAGCATGCAAATGGCACTCTACATCCTCGTCTTCATTTTTCCACATCAACCCGAATTTCTAATTATCTAAAAAAACAAATTCAGCCATTATCCATTTGTTTGCTTAACAGTCCGCCCCTAAAGTGATACGCCCTGTTACTCGATCCCATCCTACCTTTCCTTCTTGGCCAATTTATTTTAGTCGAACTTCCACATGTACAGTGGTGAGCAAGATACTAGTGCTAAAATGAAAAAAATCAAAATTAGTTTACGGGAAAATTGCAAATGCTTTTTTTAAAATGGATCAAACTTTCAAAATTTTAATAGAATTTTATTAGTTTTTTGAATAGTATATATCAGTTTCTATAAATCAATCGTTGCTAATTTTATCAACACACAGTTTTAAAATTAAACTACGATATCATTTGTCGACGTGTTTAAATGTTTTTTTTAAGACAATTAGGTTTAAATGTACCTTGTATTTTTATTTACTATTCCCGTTATGCCAAGTTTAAGGTGGAAACACCATTTGTTCAGCACTGTACATAAAAGGAGACAGAAACCATTTAATCATTAGGTGTGCAATAGGTCCTTGTCCAAGTGTTTGCTCATCGCGTTTAAACTGACCCAATTCCCTCCGAAAAAGCTAAAATCGTTTATTTACACAAGCAAATGTCCATTAGGTTAATGCTATTTGAGGTTTACTTGTCCAGAAAATCGCTAAAGCAAACAAAGATTTGTTCATTCCAAAGTCCAATTTGTTTTAAGTCTACGAATTGGCTTTCAGCTCTTTTTGAGGGTATTTAGACACATAATTAAACTTTGCACACACTCCTGTTGTTTGGGTACGGTTTTAAATTTTTGTTTTCCAATTTTTTATTGAGTTTAATTTGTATTATTATCGAATAAGAAACTTAAACCTTTTAAAGTCCGTAACTTAAACACTTCATTCCTTCTTTTGCTTTCTCTCTTACACTCTGGATTTATTAGTATGTGTGATTACGAAAAAGTAGCGCTCTCGCTCTGCCTTGCCTAAGATATTAAATCCTCTCTAGACTTACGATCATCTCTTGTTCGGTTGGGCTTTTGACCTTGAAGCCACACTCTCCCCGATTTCTGCTCCCACGCTCTCGCTGGAATACCCACTGGAAAATTGTCGACCACCACCTGTCTCTTTTCATTCGCCCTTTCCGATTTCTCGTCCATTTGCCCATCGACGATTGCCGGGAAAGGAAGTGCGAGGAAGAAGGAGAGGCGAAAGCGCTGCGATTATATAATTAATATATAGATTTTTTAATTAGTCACGTTGAGTTCCGAGTGCCGTGTTAAGTGGAAGTATTTATTTAGGCCCTTAATTTAATCAATCCGACCTCGAATGTCCGTGTGCGTTAACAGTAAACGTGAAGCGTATTGGTATTGGTAATTGGCTGCAGCTACATTAATTAAAAGTTTAAAGTTTTCCCGTTCTTTATTCGCGTTGACAGTGTAAATATTTAGTTTGAGATCGCAAATATGTTTAGCAGTCGCGCTTCGTTTTTGGGCAATCGCCGTATGATTTTTGATTTTTCTGAGAAGAACAACGATATCTACCTCGAGTAAGTGTGTGTGTGTGTGCTAACTGTAAATGTTACAGTATGTACTCAATATTTTTATTGCGCAGTTTAGCTCGGAAAAAACACTATTTTATTATTCTAAATAATTTTAAATATATTTACTGTACATCGTTCTATACCTATAATAATATGCCTTATCCCCTGTATCTTAAGATTACTGTACTAATCCTTCCATTCTGTTCATAATCTTTTTTTCGTAGTGCTTTTGGTATGAGCGATAAGAGCAGCAGTGCAACAAGTAGCCTGCCAAATAGTCCCATACACAGCAACAACAACAATCCTTCGCTGCTGAACAACAACGGCAGCAACAACAACAGCATTAGCGGTGGCAACAACATCAATCCAAGCTTGGGCAACAGCAACAATTCGCTGGTAGCCGTGGGCAGTAACGGTATTATGTCCGCCGCAGGATTGATAAACAACAACAACAATCCGTGCAGCGCCAACCGAAATGTCGTAGCGATGGTGGATGATGACGCATGCTTCCGTCTGGATACGGACGCCACGGTGACGTACGGCGAAAAGGAACCGGATCCGGACAACATCAAGATGTTCGTGGGCCAGGTGCCCAAGTCGATGGACGAGTCACAGCTTCGCGAAATGTTTGAGGAATACGGCGCGGTGCACTCGATCAACGTGCTGAGGGACAAGGCCACCGGAATTAGCAAGGGTGAGTGCTTGATCAGATCATAAAATTAGGATTCTAGTGTTGCCATTATTACATTTTAGGCGAAATTTAGGTTTCGTCAGGGCCAGCTAACAGCAACAATCAGTTGAACTTCTATAGCTCGAAATAGCCTTATTGGAAGAATCATTTCCTACACTCAAAACTTACAAGGTGGTTCGAGATGTGGAAGTTCAACTGCATATTGTAAACGTATGCATATGCAGAAAAACACAAGTTAAAATAGTATGAAACCATATTTACAAACTTCGGAGCAAGACACAAATATTTTTAAAAACGAAGATGATACGATATAAATGAAATTATTTATATTGTATAAATTTCGTGTTCATTATAGTATAGAAAATAGATTCTGATAATATACAATACAAAATGAGTTTTATCGGTCGTAGCAGAACATGCCCTATTCCTATGCCCTATTCCTATGCCCTATTCCTATGCCCTATTTATAACACAATGTATGCCACCCTGGACTTCACATGATGAAATGTTCGGTATATGTCAACCGTGAAAAAAAATTTGAAGTCTTCATTTAAATATATTTGAGAGTATGCTTTGGTTTAAAATAAATTTAATTTTATGTTAAAGAAGTGTATTTCTCAAAGTTCTGCTTTCCTGTTTCCGAAAGACTACTGTACTGCCCTTGCTCTTTATTCATTACTTTTGTCTGGCTGATAAATTACTCCCGAATTTGTTGCGGTAAATAGCCAAAAGCTCCGCCAAAACTTCTCCCCTTCATGGAAATGAGAGAAGTGCAGACAAAATTAATATGAGATATTGGTCTAGCCAGAACACAAATATTCGAACGTCATACATCCAGTGCACACAGCTATACATATATATATATGTCTCCTTCTCACCCTTTTAATTGCATTCACTTGCAATTGCCATTTCATTTCATCAGCAAATTGCTTTTTGTTCGCTATTTGTGTTTGAGTAGAAATTTCAATAGCCTTGAGCTTTGCTAATGGAGATTGCGACGAAAGTTTGGGGTTGGGATGATATGTTGAATTAAATAATTCAGTTCGAAATTTGACTTTATTTAAGAGTCTGAGCATTGCTTAAAACGAATCTTTTATTACACTAAAAATTATAAATTCATTGTAAAGCTGGAGAAAAAAAACTTAGAAAAAGAGAAAAATCATTTTATAAAATTTAGTGAAGTGATTTCAATTCAATATTATATTAATTTTCTTGTATAGAAAAATCGCAGCCGTGAACGATTGCCTTTATGTTAAACTGAACAAATTTAACTCAATTTTCTAAATTAATGCAAATGTTTGCATGATGTTTAATATGATAAGTAGTACTCTAAATGCAAACCTGCAGACAAAATGATAATATCTTGTTCATTTTTTTAGCGTGTCAATCGACTTTCATTGCAAATGAAATCTGCAAGTGCTGATAAAAGCCAGATTCTTCACATTCTTCGCCCTCAACTCCCTTTTTATTATTCCAATATATTCATTGTTCTGTTCACTTTTCCGCCTCTTTTTCTGAGGCCTCTTAACTGCAGTCAAGTTTCTATTTTATTGATATGCTCTTTTCCCCCCATTCATTCATAACGACAATTCCACTTCTAATCTTTTTCATTTCCAATTGCCATTTGGCTCGGATTGTTTTCTATTCCTATTTCTGTTTGAGATTTCATTCTTCTCTCGTTGCCATTGTGTATTTGTATATTTTGTATTTCGAAAACGTTTTGTTTATTTTGCGTCATTGTTACTCCATATCCAACTGTCTATTTAGCGTTTCCATCTGTATTTTTCCTTTTCCTCGTATTCCTACTGCAGCTGACAGGTTTCATCCTCATCTTTGTAAAAGTGGGCGTGGCATTTTAGCTCTGGTCAGCAGTGCCCGAAGAAGGGGGCGTGGCAGGAGTGGGATAAACAGTTTTAGAAGCACTTAAGTGGCGCGTTGTGTTGATGATTTATGACAAGCAACGAAAAGCAGTCACAGCGTTTTCCACTACCCAAGTGCTCATGTGAGAATGTTTGTTTTTATTGCTATTATTTTTGTCGCCGTCAAAGAGCTAAGAGAGTCTTGTGCAAGTCACAAACACAAAATCGACACAAATTGCATTTCAAAGTTATTATTTATGTCAGCGCAAAGAAGGAAAAGTAGGCGGACCGCCTTTTCCGTGGGCGTGGATATGACCTACAACGAATAAATAAAGTATAAACGAATTTTCCTTTTTCTTAATGACAAATTTTTTCGTGGGGTATATGAGGCTGTCCATTTATTAAATTTCAAAAAATAAATCTACCACATAAAGATTGTAAGATTGTGCTTTGTTAAAAATATCATTTCTATACAATCATAGTAAAGCCTCAGAATTACTTCAAATTAAAACATCATTCGCAGAAATATTGATTTAGAATTTCCTTTCAAAAAAAAGGTAAAATTTATTTCTCACTTTAATAATATAACCCATACGACAGACTAATAAGTAAGCCAAAATTACTGGGTATGCTTATGTAGTTAGGCAACCTTCAAACTTTCCTCTCGTGTATGCTGCTTCTCATTCAGACTTTTTTTGGAAACAACATTTTCTCCTCCTGCATGATGCATTTTTGCTGGCCCCCTTTTTTTCGGTTTAAGCCAGCAAAACTTCCTGCTAACAGCATTTCCATTTAGATGGCAAAATGTAACCCAGTTTTTGGACTACCAGTTGGCTAAAGAACCTCATCCATATCCTTAGACTTTAGCAACTTTTTTTTTGCAGCTGGCTTTTGTCTGCTCCATTTTTCCGAGTAGATTTTGTAGTTGCTGTCTCGCTTTTTCGTTTAAACCAAACAAAATGTAAAATGACACTTTTAAGTGCGATGGTTGACCTCTGAACCAGAAAGTCGTAAATAACAAAAAATACCGACAACAACAAAAAAAAAGTATCAACCCAAAAATTTCGTTTTCGTTTCGGCCAAGTATTTCTGGGCTAATGCTTCTCCTTCTTCTAGCTGCCTGAAATTGTTATCCTTTTTGGGGCACTAAATTTTGTTAGCGGGCAGTTTTTCCTCCCATTTCCCCGTTAACTTTTCCGCCTCTTTTGGATTTTCTATGTTGTTGCGGGTGTTGCGGTTTTATGGTTACTGTTTTTGTTGCTCTGCGGCCAGCAGATAAAGGTGAGAGGTGTGAAGGTTAAAGGGGAAAGGGGAAAGTGGGTGGTAGAAAGGTGGAAACCAGAGCGGCACAAGGTTAAGCGCTTGGGTCATAATTTATTAGCGCTTGCGGTTCGGCGATAGTACGGTGAGTATTTTCGGAATAGGGGATAAATGGGCGTTATGGAGTCGGTGGGCGGGGCGTAGGAACCGAACCATAGCGACAAGGATTTTCTGCGGTTCTCGATTCGGATTGTTTCAGGTGAGAAAAGGTAGAAACAGGTAGCTTTTAATTCGATATTGAGTGAGCTGCAAGGGATGAGAGAAGCGGACCTGTAAAATAGTTTGTGGGCTTTCTCGTTTTGGCATTTCAGGTTTATCGCGGCTTTTGTGGCCAAGGAAATGCAGCCAACTATGAGCGAGTAAAGATTTCTACAGGGGAAATGTCGTTAATGTGAGCAATTTAATGTGAACATAAAATAAATTGCACTTCTGATAAGTGCTTTAAAAAGGTAGTATGTGTTTGATAATGGTTTTCTTATTTTCAAACAATAATATTTAATATTTACTAAAATTAGTAGCAAAATCAGGCATACCAAAATAGCTTTTCAAGCTGTAAACAAATTAAAAGCAAAAACCATTTAATTAAAGCCGAAATGGACTGTTTTAATAATGAACAAAAACCATTTGGACCTGGTTTTTTTTATCGAGCCAATTAAATTAAGTAACTTTAAAACCATTCTTCTCATTAATTCTTTTGATAATCTTAATAGTCATCGCCCTTATACCCTTAAGCTACTATTGATAAAGAACCCAAAGCATATTCAATTGTGAATTCACTCCACCCACAACAAGACCATATGTCACAGTTCCCCATTAAGACAGCCACGCCCAGCGCACACCCAACGCCCACTTTTTTAGTCGAGCCTGTGATTTATGACCTCCGCCTTATAAAAAACTAACCCGCTGACCAAACCAGAACAGATGAAACTGAGAAAAGCAGATGAAAATTCACCCGAAAACAAACAAAAAAAAATAATAATATAATTCACACAGAGAGTAAGTTAGAAATCGGGGTTAAGTGGGGTTCTATGGGTGGGAATTGTGGGGAAGCTTGGTCAGTTACCAGATTTCTTGTGGGTGGTTGCTTTCTCGTCCTCGTCCCCGTTTTCTTTATCTTTCGGTTTCCTTGAGAACTTTATTTTGAAAAGCTTTTCCTTACTCTAAGTCTAGCTGTCCTATGTCTCCCCAGAAAAAAGGAAAAGTAACGCACTTATCTAACGCCTTCATCGGCCGATTCATTTTTTTTTCCTTCTCCCAGAAACTTTGTGCTCTTGACATTTTTATTTAGCTGCTGCACTGAGCGTGAAAAATGCATAAAATTTCACTTAATTTTATTCCGCACCCCGTGCGCTTACTCCACGAAAATGGAAAGGACGAATTACAATTTCAAATGCAGGTTCTCAGTAGGGAAGTAAATTTCGCACAGTTTGTGAAATTAGCATTTGCTCATGACTTTTAGTTGCCATAGAAGCATTGCTAAACATTTGTCACGGTTCAGGTTTTTGATGTTTTTAAGTATGGCAGGCCAATCGTAATTTACCTTTATAGTTAAATGCATAACGACATGGGTTTATTTCAGTTGCATCCTTAATCCTGTGCAGTATTTCGTCTTTTGCTTCCACTGGTTGGAGTCAGTAAATCTGAGGGTGGCAATGTTTTAGGACATTGATTTATTTAACCTCGATTAATTCGTTTCGTTGCTCGCCACGTCCACAAACGTGTGTCCAAGGGCTTGTATTTTATGGGTGAGTGGGTGGATATATATACGAAGGGATAAATATACGTATGTATCCTTTTTCCTGGACTTTGGCACGTCTTGTCTGGCGGCTCTCGATTTCATCTTCCTCCCACTTGCCGGGATTAAGTTCTTTTTGTCCAAAAACGTGACTGGGTGTCGTTTTCAGCTTTATTCTAGCTGCTTTTCCTTCGATTTTCCTTGGCCTTTTCTTTATTTTTCCTCGTTTGCCATACTTGTTTTTTATCGCTTTGTTCTATTTGGTTGTGTGTGTCTTGGGTTTGATTCTAACTGCAGTTGACATGCACATAATGGGAATTGTGTGAGATTTTTCTTCGTTTTCTGCGTTGTTTTGATGCAGTTCAGTTTCAGTTGCCTCCTCTTTCGTTATCGTTCAATTGCTTTCCTTATCTATTGGCCCTCAAACCTTCCACCCCAGAATCCTGGTTCGCCGACTATGTTTTATTGCATTCCAAATGGTTTCGATTTTCTTTCATTTGTTACATTTAACGGTAGTTTAATTTTAAGTGATATTTAATCTGCGCTTGCGAAATGAAATTTAGCTGAAGTATAATTCGATATTTTCTCTTTGCTTCATTTGGTTTTAAGTGAAACACGATACCAATTGATGAATAAACTTTTTCTACATCATAAAAAATAATCTTTCTTGCACCTTATATCGTACTTTGCATTACATTATACTACAATTTGCATGTAAATTGCTTAGCTACGCTTAAAAAAACATTCTTGATTTATAAAAACACGTTAATGCACCTTCCTTTGATTAAATTTTATATTTTGAGAGGTTTTGAAATAACGCCTAGTTAAATTTAGTTTAAAAAGCTCCATTTACATACCTTTGCAGATGGTATTTTTAATTTGGGTAGTTAATTGTAATCCCAACAACTTTTATTATTTATTTGATTAAAGAGACTTTTTAATTACACGAATTTGATTGATATTGTGTATCCCTGAAATGGTACAGACTCAATATTTAAATTTTGGACTTTAAGATATTTTACGAATGCCAAAAACTGCAGATCCCATAATTCACTCACACGTCGGATGTGGCGACGACTCCGTCTAACCACTCTTTGCCGGATATTTAACGGCAGAAAAAGAAAAACCCGAAACGAGAAATGAAAATATTTGCAAATATGTGAAAAATGCAGAAAAATGTTGGTGGTGACATGGCAAAAAACTGCGACAGATTGAATTACCTGTGCGGGCTAAGTGGTATGGGATTGTGTGGGGTGCTGCCACGCCCACTTTCAAACTGGCTGAGGGCGACCAACCAAAATGGCCACCACTAAATGCCGCCGATACGCTGGTGGGTAATTGCATTATGCAACTATTGCATTGCCCTATTAAGTTTTGTTGTAACCATCGCTGCCATCACACACCGCTGCCCCTGTAGGCTGCTGGCAGTAGGTAGGCCCTTACTTAGGGAGGGAAAATGGTGAAAATGGCAAATGCGGGAAACTAGAGGCTGGGAAAAGTGTAGATATGTGTGTGCAGGAGCCGGAAATGGATTTAACCAAAGCCCTGGATGGGAGTGCGTGTGTGTAACTTGGCCACAGATTTGGCACACAAGAGAAAGGGAATTTCTGCCACATCCAAAATAGAACCTAAAAAAATTATTTTGGTGAAATGGAAATGGAATGCCATCACCAAATAGAGAAAAATAAAAGGGAGATAAAAGGTTTTCAATGCAATTTAATGCGATGTTTGAATTGTCTTTAAATTATATTTTAATATTTAAAAAATAACTGGAATATCTGAAATGCAATAACATGAACAATTTTAGTGTTTGTGTTTTGTGTAAAAAACAGTAACGCTTTAATAAAGTAAAAATTATTAAATTTTAGTGATTTTTATTTCCATCTAAATGTGATATTTAATCGTAACTATACGAATTTTAATGTTAGACCTTAAATAACACTTAATATGCTCGCCACACCTGCCTTCGACTCAAACCCTCATAAACTCAAACACCTTGGCCGCCCTTTTGCCGCCCGTCTAAACCCCTTCTTCGGCACCTTCGGTCCCGGAAACTTCCACTCGAATCTCAAACGCGACACATTTGTTAGGGCCATAATGTTTAATTTAGTGCCTGGCTGTCATGTTGTTGCCACGTTTCCTACTCCGGCTACGCCCATAGCTTTTCTCCTTTTCACACGTTTTCCATTCGGGTATTTCCTTGCCCACCTCCGCTAATAATAATAATTTTCATAATTTCCCAGTGCCACCTTTTTCGACGCTCGTCGGAAAATAAACTCCAATTTAACCCTCATGCTAATCTTATGCTTTTCCCTTTATTTTCCAGGTTGCTGCTTTGTGACGTTTTATACGAGACGCGCCGCCCTGAAAGCACAGGATGCTTTGCATAATGTTAAGACGCTGAATGGGGTAAGAAATTTTGATTTGCGTAATGATTTTATCAAGCTCAACCCTTTAAGTAGCTCTCCTATTCCAATAAGTTAAAATTAAAGCTTTCTCCATTCAGCAGTATGCGCTAGCGATCTTAGATAAATATTCATTTGTGAAAGTAAAACATTGAATTTTGGTCAGTAAATTATTATTGTCCTTAATTCAACTTTTTATATTATTTTTGAATGTTTTTTTTCCAGTTCTTAATTTTTAGATTTAAACTGTTAGCAAATGAGTTTTAAATCAAGATTTCGCAAGTTTTTGGATATAGGGCACTCATAACAAAAGTAGTGGAGAATGTAAACCGCGTAAAGGCGTAGGAAAACTTTTTTTAAAATGATATTTATGTTTAGTTACCAATGACAAGATTAGCTTTAAAAATTGTGATGTTGTTTTAGTTTTTCTGCAATAATTAAGACCAAATTAGAATAACCAATAAAAAGTGAAAAAGACACGACTTATCATAGCCTTTAATTGGAAATTTCGCTGATCCGACACAAACAAGGAAAAACTCTATAAACTTATCATGAATCGCTATCATTCACGTGACAGGACAACAGCCAGGAGGTGCGGGCTGGAGCGGCAGCATCATCGTCGTGATTCCTCTTGCCTCCTTCATTATGGCTAACTGACTCGCTGACTGACAGATTGACTGGCGTTTGGACTGACAGAGCCATGACACCGCACAAAAAAGGCAGAACACTGCGGGGCTAAAATAAAATGCATCGCAAGGGGAAATGTTTTTGTAAAGGGTCGACAAAAAATCGTGGAACGTGAAATTCTTCCTCCTCTATTTTCCAATATATATTTTTTTTTTGGTTCGCTTCGTATATTTTCCTATAAAATGCAAGTAATTTTAAAAGTTTAGTCTTGTGTCCTGTGGCAGCTTAAAAATCAGAAAATAAAACAAAAAAATTGTGAAAATTGTTAGCACAAGACACGCGCCAAAAGTTTTTTTCAGTTTTCTTGCGTCCCAATTCTATGAGGGTATGATAAAATTGTTGATAAGTTTGTCTTGTTTAAATGGGTAAGCGAATACATCATAAAATTATAAAAACATCAAAACAATGGGAGTACAAACACTTTTATATAAAAAAATTTTATTATAATTATTTTTAATTATTTAATTATTTTAAATCATTTACTATCTTGAAAAATCCGAACATAAAATTTGACAATAATTATTTTTATATTTTTATTTATTTTTAATAATTTCTTATTATTTCTTATTCCTCTCGCCTGTGTTTTGGCAAACTTTTAAGATATTTCAAGTGCTTAGCAAGGATGTTTGTCGGTCGATCATTATACATTTTATTTCTGGCGGGAAGAGAGCAAACCGCAGGCACAAAAATGTCAATTTGCACTTAGGAGCAGAAGCAGCAGCTGAATAGCGGAAAAGCAAGCAGAGTCCTGGAAAAGTTGTCAGCACAAGTGCAAAGAAAAAAAGATAAAGTGGGATGGGTAGTCCGGGAAGAGGTCAGAAGATAGCGAGCGACGTCAGCAAAAGCGAGCGACATTTGGCAATGTTGCTTTTTATTTTTCGGTTCCCAATTTTTTTTTCGTTGTACCCTTTTTTTTTGTAGAGCGCCATCAAATAAGCATTGAATATTATTATTATTTGAAAGCCATGTGTTAGCTGAAAAAAATAGGGTTGAGGGAAATGCGGGAAACGTTCCCAGGGACAATGCTTATGTCATCACGTTATCGGCTTCAAAAGAGAGGAACTGACATAATTTGCATGTTGCTTCGTGGCTGCAGCTGCGATATTTATTTTAGAAAATTGCTATGGAACGTTTGTGGTGATGACGGGTTAAAGGGCGGATAACAGGACATGTGCGTGTTGCATTCGATTCACGACGTTGTTGTTCCTGCTTTTGGCAATTCCACTGACAGGCTTTGACGTTAGCTTGTAATTTTCTTGCACAATTTGCGATTGTTATCGAAATGGTGGAATTCTTTTCGAAATTCGTGATGATTGCTAGGAATGTCAAAAGGATATTATCAATTCATTTTCCATTAGCATTGTTAAATCATTAAAAAGATTGGGTGAAATTGGGCTATGCATATGCATCGTTGTAGAGCTCGGGTGTTATTTAAAGTGTTATAAAATATAGTTTTTGTCTAACATTTTTAAAAATTTAGCAACCACCTAAGTTTTCATGGTATTTAGATGGGACCCTGTTCTATCTAGGTTTTTCGTTTTTAACAGCCCAATTTTATTTTAATTAATATTTTCTTATTTTTCAAGAACTTGAAATAGATCTTTAAATTTTCAATTGTTATTTTTTCTTTATTTCCAATCGATTTAGGTTCACTGGTTTGCTGTATCGATAACATATCGCAGGGCTGCATTTCACGAGTCACTTTTTGCTGATTAAGTGCAGACCGGCCGATAATTGCACCAATAGAAAACAGTCGTTGGCGATATTTCAACCAATTACGTGTAGGCAGGGAAAAGCCAACCACGAAAGCTGGTTGACAAAGTGAGGAAAGGACTTCCACCTTCGGGGCTCCTTTTCCTTGTGGGGGGTGTGAATGCCGCCTGTGTTTGACTGGTAATTGCTACTTCCTGCATATAAATAAATTGGCAGAATAAGAAAGGCAAGGAAGCCCGAGGAGAAACAGGTTGACTTGGACTGCAATTTGTAACCAGTCGCGTTGCGTGTATTATTTACGGCCAGAAAAGACTAGGGGTATCAAACGTGGTGGGTGAAAAGGACGAAGTGAAAAGGCGCACCGCCAAAGGGAAGTACAAGGACATTGCCTTCTAGCGTAGACTGTCGTCGTTCGTTCTTTCGCTGCCCACCCTTTTGTCAATAAATCACGCGCCATTAGCCAAGCTGTAGTTTCACGCAGAGCGGGTCACGTGACACGCGTGAGAAGTTAATAAAAGCTTGTAGAATGCTCGTTGTACTTTTAACATTTTTAAATACAATTTTCATAAACTCGATTTAAGTTTAATAATCGCAATCACATTTTTTAGAAATAATTTGGTTGATTTCTTTAATATATATCTTTTCCATATTATTATCTTAACACGATTGCCCTTTTGTCACGCTGCTATCTCTAACTTTAGAATGCAGCATGACCTCGTGCCCGTTTCGCGGCCTCTTTGAATGCGGAAGGGGGCGTGGCTGAGGGCTGGGGGCGAGCTTTAAGCTTGTTTTAATTAGAAGACGTTGTGAGGTGTGTGTGTGTTTGTGTGCGAAAAATTACATTTAAAACACGCTGCAAAGTCTAACGCATATTTTAGGACTTTTGCACATAGCTGCGAAATTTCCCCCTTTTCGCATTTTGCCACCGCCCGTGTCCTTTTTAGCGACCGCTGAATAAATGTGTTTGGCTTTTGTCAAGGATTTAGGCGGAGGCTTTGTCCCGTGTCCTGTGAGGCTCCTTTTTGCCGTTGCCTGCATTCCATTCATTATGCAGCTTAAGTGGAAAGGGAGACGGGGGGCTTGCTACCCGATTCCCCCATTGCACCATCCACCCCTGTGGACTGCCGTCCCTGCTCGCCGTTTTTGGCGACTGCATTTGGCCCTAAGCTCTGTAAATTAATCGCGGCCTTTTCTCTTACGGCCGGAACCACTAAGCATATTGCGCTCTAATATTTCAAATGTGATTAACACGGCACGGAAACGGATTTGATTTTAACGAGAGAAAACGGGAGGATTACAAAAAATCTAAAAATAGTAAAAAAAACAATTTTTAGCTTAATATAGTAGAAATTATATTATTATCTAAAGCCACTAAAAGTTTGTTTCCAATTAAAAAAGCAAATATCCTAAATATTAAACAAAGAATGTATATGTTACAAAAAATATAAATTAAAAAAATCGTACACGTCGTTTTAGTTTTTCATATAGTTTTTGCATCCTAATCTTTTGCCAGATTTCTGTGCTATATTTTACTGATTAAATTTATATTAAACTTTCTCTTAATTACTTGTTTCAGATGTACCATCCCATTCAAATGAAACCCGCCGATAGCGAGAATCGTAATGGTAAGTTTTTATACCTTTTTACATTCACAATAACCAAAACAAATTTAGGTAACAAAACAGAAATAAATAGAAAGCTATTCACACACAATGAGGTGTGTATGTGGGTTACTAAAAGTATGCCAAACCAAAATATTTCCATCACCGACAAATCAACAAAACGCAATACAAAGTGACCAGCGAGGCGTGCGAAATATGTGTGCGTTGTTCTATCGAGAACCAAACACAAATTGGGGCTTACGGATGCGAAATGCATCTACTGAAAGGATTGCAGAAGTATTCTGGAAATTGATTTCCTGAAAAATTTTTTTTTTTATTTTGATGGTATATATTTTTTTTGGGGTGCTAAATATTGGAAATATGTTTCCATAACTCAGATAAATAAAATAAAATATGTTATTGTTCACCTATTTTGGGAAAAAATATGAAATTTTTTTGTACAGATCGATTTAAAAATTATTCTATTAAAAGTTTACCTCTCACATTCGTTAGTAATCAAACTTATTTTAATATATCTACCCACAACTGAACAGATGTCCTTTTGTAATAACATACTTTTAAAATAATTTTTACCCTAGCTTTCCTGAAGGAATTCAAAAATCCCCACTATACAAGTTTTCAAAGAGAAAAGCTAGGAGAGTATATAAAAAAAAAAAAAATTTGGGGGCTTTGGAAATTGCGTGCGAAAACGCGGTCAGCCTAAAAGCGGGCAGTAGAATTTGACAGTTTTTATTGGCAATGGTCAAGGGGCGAACGATAAAAATTGGGGTGAAAGGAATGTTGCGAAATACATGGAAATTGCAAGGTTGTGTGCAGACGAAATTTTTTATCAACATTTTACGGATTTTTCATTGAACTTTCATTCGTGCGTTGTGCTTCGCCATCCCTTTGTTTCAAAGTTCGTTTTCAGCTGTCGGTCACTTGGCAGTTAATTAAAAACCATCAATTATGTGAGCGAGCAAAAACTGTTCAACAAAAAAAGTATTCAAAAGCTGGAAAAAAGTTGGTGAACATTTTTTAATTTATGTTAATTTCAGACAGGAAGCTTCAACCCGCCCACACTTTAGGGGCTGCTTCTTTTAATTACACCCATGATATTAATCTGCTTAAGTGACCACAAAAATGTTGACTTTTCACCCCCCGCACAGCAGAAAAGCAGGGAGAAGGGCGAGAGCACTGAAGAGAATGTCATTTTTAATTGGCAGACCTCTAGCGGCGTTTATTGTTAACAAGTTGTAACAAAAAATGAAAACTGAGCGCAAAAATAAAGTTTCGCTGCCGTTGCGAGTCTTCCTTTGCAGCCAATCCCCTCTTAAAACCTCCCACCATCCGCCTTTTCAGCAGTGTGTAATTACGCTTGTACAACATGGCGTATGCTTAATAATTTTTGGCACTTTTTCCCTCTCTGTGTGTGCTTAACTAAATTTTTCGTTGTTTTTTTATGGGTTGGTGATGGATAAGTACTTTCATTGGTGGTAATGAGGAATATAATAGTTTTTCATAGCAGAGAAATGTGTAGCTGGGGAATAAAGTACAACCCATTAACTTCACTATATTTCAGTTGAATGTTACAAAAAAAGTAAAATCTACTTTCATTCATTAAAGTATAAAGTATAAAGTCATAAAATTTGTTAATTTGTATGTAATGTTTTCTGCGTCATACAGGAAACACTTGTGTTAGTTTTTGTGCAAAATTTGGTTGGTTTTAGCTGCTTGGACAACCCCAGTTTAGGCAAGAGCCTCCTGTGAGGGGTTTTCAATTTCAGATAAGCCCTTTGGTAGCGGCCGCCCGCATTGCGCCTAAAACAAATTCGATGCAAATTCAAGTTGGACACCATCCAACATTTGCCGCATTATAGACAGACAACAACGATTTCCCGGCAAACAGTAAAATTGCAATTCAATTCAATATTCCAAACTAGACAGAGAGAAATGTGGCTTGTTTCGTGATTTGGCACTTTAACCTCGGGACGGCAACAACAAAACTTTAAAAAAAAAACTAAATCGAAAAGGACTGACAAAAAAGTTTGGCTGGGGACCCACAGCGGAAGCGATATAATAGAAAAAGATGGCAGAAATATTTTTTCCAATTTTGTTTTTTTTTTGGCTGGTTTACCGCCAGGGTTGTATGAAAGGGGAAACTGGGGATAGTCACAGCCTAGAAATCGAAAGAAAAAAAGCATAGACAAGACAGTCGCCGTCTCAACGTAACAACAAACGGAAGGTGGCAATTTAATAAAATGCTTGAGTGAGTCGTCGAGTTTTGTTTCCTGCCTGGTTCACGCTGCTTTTCTCTCCCTCATTCAAATTGTTATTTTTTTTTTAAAAGTTTCATTGCAAAAGAGTGGCATTTTAGGCAGGCGGATATCGCTAGAGAGGAAAAAATTGTTTTTTCTTTTTTTTGCTATAACTATTGTTTTTCTTGATTCTTATATAAATAAGTTTTAAAATATCTATAAATAGAAGGCTTCAGTCAAAGGCTTGACCTAGCGTGGAAATAGAAGCTGCCGCCTTTGAAAGAAATATTACGGAATAGTTATTGGTTTTATAAGACTTTCCCGAAAAATAATAGAAACTTCTTGAAATATACTTTTAAATTAAACGGTATACTATACTGTTTAATGAAAATAAGTTTTTATTTATCGTTAAAATTCAATACGGAAATTAAATTCAAAGGGTGGAAAAATTTCAATCTCAAACCATCATATATTTCCATGCACGTTTTTCTGCACAAAAACTCACTCACTTAAATTTAATATTCCGGATTAAGCAGAGTCAAACAATCAAATGAAATTATTCGCAACGATTTGTTTACCTTTGATCTTTCATTAAAAATTCAATCAACGACTGCAGCCCAAACATAAAAACCTCAAACCAATAAAAGTACTTACTTAAAAAATCTTCTACTATAAATACCGAGCAAATGACCTCTCATTTCCACTGAAATTGAAGCAAAGGGAAAAGAAAAATTGCATTCAAATTTTATGACACTTTGTGTCACCGAAGCTTTTCTTCTTTGACCCTGGGCTGAAATCCCTCAACGAAAAAGGAGAAAACCCTGAAGGACATAAATACTTCGAGAAACAAGAGAGAAAAGGAGGGGAAACAAGCAGAACATTGTCTAAGGGCAAAGAAGTGCATAATAACAGCGATTTGCATTAGGTTAAGTAAAAAACGGAGACAACAGCAAAATGTGCAAGCAAATCAAATGAGTAAGCAAAGTGGAAAAGGCGAGAAAAGGGGAAGGTGAAAAAAACTGCAACGTGGTAATCAGAGCAATTTACATGCAAGGAAACTTCAAACAGACAACGAGCAAAATAGGGGAAAAGAGTGGCAACGAGTCGCGGGACAATGTCAAGTTTTGAAGGATTATGCGCAAAAGAGATGAAGGAAAAAGAAGCTAACAGGGGTGATATTAAATTTTCAAATAGTACACAATTTACCTTCTTTCGGTTGCAAATAAATGAATGAAGACGGAAATGCCGAAAGTAGCTTGTTCAGTTCCCTTTATTTAACACACGAGATTAAACTTTTAAAATAAGTGCAAGATTGTCTTTACCCAAATTTAAGTTAGGTAGGTTTTAAGAATTTTGGGACTTGTATATTTTGTAATTATTTATTAATACCTCAAAATTAAACATTTTTGCAATATAGACATAATTAATATTCCTACTTTCACCACCGAAAGAACAAAAGTGAAACCATATGGAAAGTACTGAAAAGTAAATATCCTCATGTTTATTCCCATCCATTTTGGAGCATTACAAAAAGAACGATTGCATTTGCTCTAAAGTTAAGGAACTGAGGGAGAAAATGATGGCGGGTACTGCTGTTGTTGTGGAAAAGACGGTGGAACATATGAATTTTTCCTCACTGCATATGAAATCGATATGCAAATGTTGTGCGAGGTTTTCCCCGGCGTCAACAACAGCAACGAAAAAAAAACAACGACGGCGGCTCCTTATTGCTGCTATGATGATGATGCACGTATTGTTTGCTTGTAAACATGATAAAAATTCAAATTAGCCGTAATATATGGCAAGTCGAGGAGAGCACACATATATGAGTCTTCATTTTGTGGCGCTGAAATGCAAAATGTGCCAAAAATTACGGCAAAAACTTTTCTCTGGGGTACACGAAGAAACCTTGAACAAATTACGTATTGTATTTGCATTTTTCTTTTTTTTTTTGGTTGGGTGTGGAAATCAATGAGTCAACAAGAAGGTGAAAGTTGAATGCAAACAGTTTATATATGTAGATATATGATCGTTTCACTTAAAAAGAAGGAGCTTGCATTGGCTTAAATACTACAACATTAAAAAAGGATGTGCATTCTTCTAACATTTTTTTTGTATTCTTAAGTTCTTGTACAAACTACAAATTGGTCTAAGAATGCAATTCTTTCATTCAATCAGTTACAAAGTAAGCGTTGTTTGTCAAGTTATTTATTTAAGTATTCAAATAGTTTTAATTTGTATCTATTTTCACAAATAATAATATTTCTCTATTTCTGTTTAATTTTGAGATTTTTCCCACCCAAGCCACACTGCGTGTGCGTCTGTAAGGCTATATTTTTATGAACAACAAAATGTCAGAGCAAAAAGTGTTAATTAACTCATTAGCATCAGGTGTTACAGTAACAACAACTACAGTGGGCGGCAGGTAGATGCGAAAGAGCAAAGAATATATACACATTCATCAAATGTGGATGAGAATAAAAAGTAAACTAAGCTAAACCAACATTAAAAGTCACTTAGAAGAGCTAAACTCAAAGCTAACAATTTCACAACGCAGGCAAAGTTGCTAATCAAGTTTTTCCAGCCGAGAATAATCTTAGCATGAGATGAAATTAGATCCAAAATGCGATGAGTTTAGGGTCTAGAGCTCGAAGGCAGGTTAGTTGCATTTTCAACGTCAATCAGTACGAAGCGAGAGGCGTTGACGCCCAACAATCAACTTGATTTATTTTCCCCACATCGCGTACGTGCTAAAATTCCAATTTT